GAAATTACCAGAAATCAAGGAGATTATGACAAGTATTTTTATGCTAAGGTCGAGTTTTTTGAGCAGTGCTCATATATATAGTCTACATGAGATTGAACCCAGAGCTTTCAGATTGTTAGCTGAGTAAATTTTTGCTATTCTGTAATTGGGTTGGAATTTAATTATTCAAAAATTCTAACTACAGTTGTGGTGAAAGCTGGCTGCGAACAAGCCAATATTGTAAGCAACAATTTACTTCAGTGTTACGTATGGAATCAGGGTTATGAGAAAAACAATAACAAAGCTTAACCTTGAGGAACTCAACAACCAATCACAGCAGACTTAGCGTGTGCAAATACGATTCGCAGATATATATATGGCTTAACTTTCTAAGAAACGGTCACAAAGAGATAACAGAGTAACCTTCAACAAGAAAACAATCAGAAGAAGTTGCTTCGCCGCTTACAATAATGTGCATGAAATTTTTAAATACCTCTTGATTTTCTCAATAAACAATCTGTTGCCTGACTTTTGTCTTCTGTCATTACACAGTCACTTCGTGATGTCGCGTCACCGTGCATCCGTTTTCCCGGATGACTTGGTGAATCTCAATGGCTACGATTCCTCATTAGTATTTCAGAACATGTTAGTTATAAAGAGTCACCAATGAAGAGCAAATCGATACAAATATGTGTGGCTCATCGAGAGATTTTTTAAAATTTCAGCGTAATTGTAATGAGAAGCCATAATCTTTGGTGTCATCAAGCAGGGAAAGGATGGCAGTGGTTGGGAGGTTGAATCATAATCTCACTCAGCTAGTAAGCTGATCGTTTTGTATTCGACCTCATAATGAGGTCGCGTGGATCCACTGTTTAAAAATCCAAAACTAAGACAAGACATCATTCCAGTCACCCTTGGTCTCCGACAGATTCATAACCTATTCTCAGTTAGGGATGAAGTCTACCATGCAGTTTCACAACTCCTCCTGAACAAACTCCGCAATAAGTGGGAAAGTTAGAAATAAAACGTTTCACTGTGCTCATCATTCAGACCATACACTCAATCAGCTTACTATTCTATTAATACACAGTTTCACTTTCAAAAAATGTTAAACGAATCAGCTGATCGGATGATATTTTTTAAAAAACACAACTATATCTCATCTGGACCGCAACACATTCACTCATTTTTCTTCTGGTAGTTAAAAATACAATAAAATAGTCTTTTGATGGAGAGAGAAAGAAAAATGTAATTTTATACATTTTTCTGTTGTTGAGCTAACCTGGTAATGCTTAATCGTTAACGCAAGAGATAATATGAGAAAATACAGTTTAAGTAAGTAGAATTACTACTTATTTGTGTGCTGCTGGCGTGATTTTGTAAGTAGTATATTAGGTGTGAAGTCTTCTGCAAGAATATTACAGTCCATGGTGTGTGTACCAGAAATCGTATCAACAGATCAGGGTTCTTACATTGAAAGTGAAGAATTTATATCCCACTTGCAGCAGCTGGGTATAAAGAAGATTAGAATAACGTCATATCGTCTACAAACTAGTGTGATTTGATGGACAGAAGTAACCGTATACTGTGAAAGAGTAGCTGGCGTCAAAGGGAAATAACTGGGAGACAGAGCTCTCACTGATTCTGTTAACAAATTTTGCTCCCGTGGAGGAATCAACAAAGTACTCACTGTTAGATGATTGGAGGCAATCGGCAAGAAAGCAGGCGTACCTGAAACCTTAAAGGAACTCATTTCCCTTCTGAGATTCGAACCCACATCATTTGGTGCTGCAGTCAGAGACGTTACCACTGAGCTATTCGGACTCGAGATTGACTTCCCGTAGGACTGTGGTGGATACTTTGATTGAACACTAGTCAGTAACTAGTTTGATGCGTCTAGTCTCTGACAGCAGACAGCGCTGGGTGACACGGGTCAAAATCTCAGAAGGGACATGAGTTCCTTCCTTCAAGGCTGCAGAAACGCCTTGATGACTGGTGAGTGTCAACTAGCACGAAACCTAAGTCAAGACTAGGCTTCCTGCCGATTGCCTCCAACCATCTGATATCATGAAATCAATGTACACCGTGATGGCGAGGTACCTAGAATGGTGGCCACATTGCAAACCTGACTGACTGATAGAATTCAGTCTAAACCAAAGAAAGGACTGGACACATCACACCAATTACTAGTGTCCAATCAAAGTAGTCACCGTTTCAGTTGATATATGATGGGAAACTAAGGTGGCTAAAAGACCTGATTGAATTACCAACAATGGAGTATGAAGAAATGGAAAACGAGACAGAAAGAAGCAATCAGGAATGTGAAAAAAACCCCAATAGATTGACTTCACAAAATTCGAGCAGAGAGAAATGGAAGAACGCATGACGTTTGAAGTCAGAGTTTGAAATGTAGAGGAAGAAAGTACACCGTTGGATGCGAGCTAGGTTCACGAAGACACCTTCCAAAATAGGAAGGACCGTAGGCCGACACTGAGAGTCGTGGTTCTGTTTATAATACCAGAAAATGAGACAACTAGAAATGTGTCAGTGCCAGCGAACAGGTGGATAAAGAAATTTTTCGTCAAGGTACAATAAGAGTGGTTAGCACTGAGAAGGTTACTGTGGCTCCATTCCAGGTTTTTCTACTGGAGGAATAAGTGTGACTCGCATCACTGACAAGATTTTATGAGTGCTAGCTAGTATATAATGTCTTTTGCAAGAGTATTGAGTGGAGAAGGGACAAGTTAAGTGGAGAAAAGGAAAAACGAGAAGTTTTGGGAACAATATAGAAAGCATAAGAGGAAGAAAAAAGAAGGGCAAAACGCATTACATGTGTAAGTGAAGGTTTCAAAATAAGATTTACTCATTTGCCGTAAGTTTTCATTATTTTGCTAAATAAACAATCCACAATCAAATAGTACCGTGTTCTACTGTTCCAGTATGAGGCTGCAGTTAATTCCTGCTAGTAACTAATCCAACACAGGATGTTTACTATGATGACTTTCTGACAGTTGAGTTAAGTGAAAAAAACTGACAAACAAGTCAGTTTTATTAGCTTGATTGTGAGTAATCGCGAAATCTATGATGCACGTTTCGTCCTATTTGAGACTCGTCAACTACAAGAGCCTATATCCTCACAGTGAGTGAGTGAGTAAGTCAGTGATAGTGTTCTCATTGAGACTCGAATCTAGCATCGATCACTATAAATGTCAAGGTGTTATTCACAAGGTCATTGAACTAAAACAGCCAACCATCGTGAAACAGATATTAGTTGTCTCAATAACAACTCATTCACCACCAAAGTTGGAGATAGATATGATAAATAATCACTTCTGCTTTCACTAGATGATATCATAGTGACAGTAAAGTTTGAATCGGCACAGAACTTCAACAGTCAGGGATGACTCCTACTGTTTAAGTTAACTGGATAGGTTGGAGTTATGTGATCAACCACTGAGGTGATTCAGCACGCTGTTATGTCGTATTCGGCTGTTTACTTACATCTAATTAGCTAACCATGCATTAGTGCTTAACAGTACTGATCTCCAAAATATAACTTGTATTTTGGATAATCTAATCATAATTCTGTCTCGGTTTACTAACTGTCTTTTGGTCTAAGTTTAATGAGTACACTTGGGAGTGGTGGTAGGGGATTATCCCCACCTACTGAGGCATCACCGTATCTTTCATGCTCGTCGATACCTTCCAGATGACGAGTCTCAAGTAGAACGAAATGCGCACCATCTTGGATTCCACTGCTAGTCACCATCCACCAGTTAACTTCTAATTACATGCCCCAGACATCGTCGGAGCGTCTGCGCAAGAAGCCGACAGACATGTCAACTTGAGACCGAGCGCTTCGGTCCAATCAATAGACGTGAAAATCTAAAAATCAATTAAACAGTCAGTATGACGCGTTGCACAAAAGATGGCTCTCGTGGCCCAAGTAGTCTAGTGGATAACGCTTTGGCGTTTGAAACTATGGGTACTGGGTTCGAGCCTTAGTGGGAACATTATCACTGACTCACTGGGGAATGCAGGTACATCCAGCCACCGACGAGTCCCAAATAGGACGAAATGCGCATTATCCTAGATTCGACTGCTAGTCACCATCCACCAATTAAATACATTTTCTAGATTGGAGAAAATTTCTACAAATTACTTCTGTATCAAATGTGATCGATGAAAAGAAAGTTATCAAAGACTAATGGAGTAAATACTGATCACTGCTTTTGTCTCCCACCTCAAAAACGTCATCAGAATAGCATAGTTGAAATTTCTAACTTATACATATGGATGAGTGGAAACACGCTCACTTCACACTGGGGTTAGTAGCAGTGAAGATACTATTCAGAAGGATAAGGAGTTAGGCTTTGCAGTTAAACTATCCAGCTTAGAGAAAGTTGACACCAACAAGCATACAATAATTTCAGAAAGTTTATGCCATCTTTGGAAATCTGCACTCACTCAGCATAAACAACAAGATTCGGATTCTATTCAACATAAATTTCAAGGCATTTAGTTCTTCTTTGTGGGTAAGAAACTTGCACTGCATGTCACGCAAACGATTTCCAACAAGTTACAGACTTCCATCAACAGCTGATCACTTCGCTGGTTGGCTCCAGACTGAAGATCAAATGGCTGGCCTGCCAGAAAGAATTAGCAACAAGGAACTCTGATAGCATGTAGGAGAAAATGGAGATGAATCAGGCATCCGTTGACAAGGCCTCAAAATGACATCGAGCACAATGCAGGCCATCACTCGAGTGGAAGGTGAATAGGAAGCGATGAGTGGGTCTTCAGTACGAGGGTGACATGCAGGAGATCGTGTGTTTTGAAGGAGGAGATGAGAAATTTTGATCTATCATAGACCCAGCTGAAGAGGACGGGAGAAAACAGAACAAAATGGAGATGTGTTGTTGAAGCCCTATGTTCCACTCAGAACCAGCAGATTATTTCTATCTCCTTAAAAAGACTGTCCAACTTTAAAATATTTCAGCACAAATTAAAAGGCTCAAATATCAATAAAACAAATATAAGCATGTATCCTTACCTATTGCCATCCAAACTAGAAATCTAATCCATGTAGCACCGGATAATTTAACCATAAGGTATACATTGATAAAAATACTCAGCGCTGGAATCCATGGAACTCCAGGGACCTATGATATAAATGAGAGAGGAGACTTTATGCCGTTACTTCTTGTTTATCATTTTTCAGCTGACCAATTATCACTAAATCAGGTGGTGGCAATTTTAAAATCTCAGCTGCTTCTATGGAGAAAGCTGCCTCCACTCTGCATTGAAGATTTGATGATCGGTCAGAAAGGATAAGCAAGAACCCCGGTTGTCATTGAACCACTTAAGATTCTATTGCCCAGGAGATATGCAGATAGAAATGAAAACGGAATAGACATACACTGAGAAGACAGACAAATGGAATCACACAACAAGCCCATCAGTGGAAGTCGAATGGTAAAGGACATGTTGGGCTTGGGTATGAGAGTGAATTGCAGGAGATTGTGTGAGGAGTTAATGAAAGGCTGTGAACAATCATCATGGAGAACTCACTGCTGAAGCCCTATATTCCATTAAGAAACCAAGAGACGAATAATACTGTGGTGAGAGCCGGCTGCTAGCCAAAGTTGGTAGACAGTAATTGACGTCAATGTCTATGTCCCCAATATTGGTGGTGAGAAAATGTGAACAAAGGCTTTGCGTAGGTGGATGCAGTTAGCATATGGATGATCTGACACAGCCACAAAGGGATGCAAGGTTAACTTTCTGTGAGAAACAACCAATCAAAAGACTGTGTTTTCTACTAACAATAATCTACAATAATGTACATTAAAATCTACAAATATGTGTTGATTTTGCTTAATAAACGATCTGTTGCCTGGCCTTTGTCTTCTGTTGTTACACTACTACTAGTATTAATACTAGTAGTGAAAGCTATATTTGAGTGAACAGTCAGGCAGATCAACAGATGCATTGCTGAGCACCATTGTGGTTCGTAGTTCACTAAAGGACAAACAAATTTGTGAAAATCTGAATTTTGTCTCGTTGTATCGGTAGTGGTTGCTAAGTGGAAAGAAGAAGCGCTTTCATGGCTATTTATCATATTCCACTGAAGCTTTCAGGCAGCACTCGAAATCATCCTCAACGCATAGCTGAAATTATGAGAACTAGGAAGAATAACCCCAGTCACTGCAGTTAAAATATGTTCGCATCGTTTTTGTCTTTTGTAAAACCATACTAGAGAAAAACGATGCCCCAACAGCTCCATCTTAGAACATCTGATAGATTCCGGACACCAAGCTACACCCCAAATAAACTTCAGAGTCGTCGACAGAATGCGAAGCAGTCTTCATAAAAGTGTACGAGTCAAACTTTTTTAAACTGCAGAAGCAATGGCAATTCACTTGCTGAGCCCTCAACTCTGCATACAGAAGAAGTTTGTTCAATCACTACACTTGCAATGGACGTAATCTATCTTATTACCCGACAGGTAAATTCTATTTCTTTCTTTCTGTCTCTTCATTTGTAATATTTTACATTTTCAACTCTCCTGTTCTCTACCCCCACACGATTTAATTTCTACACCTCATTACCACTGTTACTGACTTGACCAACCCTTAATTTCTAGTCATTTATGTTACGTCATCCAACTTATTTGCTCAATTTTAGTTCTGATTTAAATGGCATTATTCTCTACCCCACCTCTACTTAGTTTCTACTTCTACTTACCTCTGTTGCTATCCTGACCTAAGTTGAAACACTTTAGTCAATCATATCATATCATCTCACTTACTAACTAACTCAATCTTACTTTAGTTGCTTGCTGTCTAATTAACCTTATTTCTATATTAGATCATTCTTGTATTACCTGATGAATTATCTAAACTTGACAAACCTCATGTACACACACACACAGCAGACACAAGATAATTGTATATAAATGTGATTGTACAGCTAGCTATGTGAATGAATTCGCTGTCGAAAAGAGTCTCTTCGCTGAATGTCTTCTCTTTTTCATATGACTCAGTGGGGATTTTTAAGCTACTAACGAGTCAACCAGACGTATTCGTGACCTTGAAGGAACTCATGTCCCCTTCAGAGATTTGAACTCGTGCCACCTATTGCTGAAGTCATATGTGTTACCATTGAGCTATTCAAGCTCACGACTGACATCCAATAGGACTGTATCAGATACTTTGATCGAACAATACACAGTAAATAACCAGTGTCATGCATCTTTTCCTTTCTGTGGTTCAGACTGAATTCTATCAGTCAGCACTGGGTGACAGTGGTTCGAATCTCAGAGAGGACATGAGTTCCTTCGAGGTCGCAGATACGCCTTACTGACTAGTAAGTTCCAAGAAGCATGAAACCTAGATCAAACAAGCTTTTCTGCCGACTACCTCCAAACACCTAACAACAGGACTTCAGAGTGCACCGGGATGACGAGTCTCCCAGCAAGGTGAGCACATTGCAATCTTGACTGACAGAATTTTATCTGCACCAATTAAAGGGTTAGACATATGACACTAGCCACTTACCATCTAGCGTTCACTCAAACTACATGATATACCCAATTCAGGAAAATTCGATTCAGAAGGTGTGCAGGTATATATCTCATCTAATCAGCATTTCATTTAAGACCTCCGGTATTCTCAAGTATTGGTTCTGTAGGGAATTTTGTTTGATTGGCTGGAGGATTTCATCATGAGCCGACATCATTTAGGGAACCAGTGGAAAACCTGTCAGGGAGTAAAGGACAGCTAGCTGTTTCGTCTGCCTAGTTTGGGACTCTTTAGCAGTGCTCATCCACCAGAGGCGTTTGAACCCTTGACCTTCTGGTTATAAGGCAAGTGAGCTCGTAGACCATTAAACCACTGGGACTCGACTGATCCAATGGCCAGCCCATGCATTCCAACTTCTGCCAATTCATGACATAGCGCGACCACTTCGCAGTGTCTTCTTTGGTGAGTTAATACCTCCCCTTCAACCTGCTGTACCCTACTGGTCACAGCTTCCCAACAAAACCCCGGGTTAACTGCCTGGATAGTGCTCGCCTTGAAACCAGAATGTCCTGGTTTGGAACCCTAGAGGGTGCGTTCTGCTGAAACGGCTGTCCAGTACTCCCAGCCGGTTTTTCAATAGTTCTCTCATTGATGTTAGCTCATGATGAAATCCTCAAACCTTAAGTATTTGTTTGCAGAAACTTGATTGATTTTGAGTTAAGTCACGAAGTGGTATCAGAGAGAGGAACATTAACAACCAGAGAGTGTTGGACAACTATTCCATTCTGGTTTGAAACTCTTTGGCAGTAAGCACCCATGACTCACTGCGGGATAGAACCAAGGACCTTCAGGTTATTATACGATCCTGTTGACCATTCACTTAACTGGCTGGTTCACCAAGTCTGTTGCGATACCATCAGATACCCACTGACAGCGCTGAACCCCCGTTACGATATCTATCAGGAATTCTCAGAAGTTAGAATTCACATGTCTTCGGATTTCGATCCGATAGCTGAATGGTCATTTGGCTGCATCTCTGGTATGAGTTGTGAGTGTGAATTATGAAAAAGGTATCAAGCTAGAACAAAGCTGTGACATTATCAAAGATTTGCTTAACAAAACCATGCAGATAAGATACAGATAGGCTAGAAGGACAGTACTTACCTTAAACGAGACAGGAGTTTGATTCTCAGGTTGTTTAGCCAAAATGACGCATATAATAATACTGACAATTATCATGAATGCGACAAATATCCATATTGGAATTGTAAGTTGTCCTTTATACTCTCCATCGGGTAGTTTATCCAAAAGTAGTATACCAAAGTTACCAAGAAAAATAGTACAAACTAAAAACAAAAGAAAGGCAAGAGAAGTAAATAGAAACCCCAGAACGACAGCCTAGCTCATCTATTACGAAACGTATTATACAGACAGGGCATAAAATTGATATCGTCACCCGTCTTTTAAAGGCCTATCTATAAAACATGTTTGGGGGAGGGCTTATCCCAAAGTTTGTGGAAGCCGTAGCTGGCAATTAGAAAGTTTAAACTACCTTTATGTGATCAAAGCAACAATTTGTCATCACACTAAAACTACCTTCCTTGGTAAACTTTGTTTTGTTACCAGTCAGGGTAGATGAATCCAAGAACACAAATCAGCCGTGAAAAGACACTATATGTATTCTTTAGTATCAATGCATATAGACAATTATGGTCATCAATTTGAATGAGATAATGTCAAAATCTTAGACAGGGGAAACACCAAAAGTGCCAGGGAATTTCTAGAAGCCTGGTACTCAAACGAAAATGCAATTAACCAGCACGTTAATATAGATGAAATATACCAACTAATAAAAAGTAAATCAGGTGACCAGAAAGTTTAAAATCCAAGTCAATAGAAAATGGTCAATATATATGTAAAGATAGTTACCAGGAGACGCAATTATATCACTCATGAAGAAATTTAAATCACTTCACTTTGTGCTAAATATGGCGCTGAAGCTGTTATCCAGAAGGACGACGAAAGGTTCGCAACTAAACCAACCAGCTCAGAGAACACTATTAATTGCAGAACTATTACCTCTATTATTTGGTTTATTGGTATTCATTGTTATTTTGACTCTCAATATATCCTTTCAACTTGACCTAAGTATATTTTCTCACCTCATTACTCTTCATTCCTATAACATTTTTGTGTGTGATAAAATTGTTCGAAATGTGTTGCGCAAATACACATTACACAATTCAGGCAAATTACGTCTTCCTTCTTATTGCTTTATCTAAATTCATAAAAGGAACTAACTGTTTGAAATGTTTGAAAAAAGACAAATCAGACCAAGTTATTTCTGTGCGTTTCAAAGTACCTAGAATGTTCCAGAACAGTTTTTCATTCCTTTACTTTCCCAGTGGAACATAGGGCTTCAAGCTACAGGCTTAAAGTTTCTGTAGCAGTGGTGATTATTTTTACAGGATAGGGTTGCCAGCCTCATATCCAACATTTCCCTTTTACCAGCTTTATTCTATTACTTGCTTAGCGATGTAAAGGAGTGCGGTCGAACCCCGAACTATGTACATGGTCGGCGGGTGTCCTAACCGCTGTGCTACCGACGCTCACAGAACGGTTAGGGCATTAAATATGATTAAAGCATTGTGAAATTACTTAAGATAATTTCATTATTGGATGATACTTGAAGGGAGTGAAATTAAAACCTGTGTCTAAACAGGATTCGAATCAGAGGAGTTGGAATGACTTATTCGTCTCTCTACTAGATAATCACTGCAATCACCACGGGAAGTTTTCAGTTGTCATCACACTCATTGTCCAACTGGGTCTTTCCCTATCAGTCGTGACTAGCCACGTTCTTAAGTGGGTGGATTGTTTCAGTCCTACAGTGACCCAGATTTTCATTTCACACTCAATCATCACTCATTATATCGATAAAAGTCTACCAGCCCATGACCATTTCTATTTCCATTTCCATAAGAGAAACTAATCAAATGCTTTTCAAGTATTGGTTTTGTAGGGATTTTGTTTCACTGGATGGAGGATTTCATCATGAGCTGACATCACTGGAAAACCTGGATTGGGTCCCAGTGGCTCAATGGTCTACAAGCTCGCCTTGTAACCAGAAGGTCCTGGGTTCAAACCCCGATGGGTGCGTATCGATGAAGAGTCCCAGACTAGGACGAAACAGTTGTCCAGTACCCCGTAACAGGCTTTCCAATGGTCCTCTAACTGATGTCAGCTCATGATGAAATCCTCCATGTTAAAAATGTAATATAATTTATCAAATACTATGCAGTTAATGACTGTGAGGTCAGTTACGTAGGTCAAACTAGTACATCGGGGTCAACTCGATTATTGGAACATTAAAAGTCAGCTAGTCCCAGAATAACTGACCCTGCTAATTTAAATAATCTAGAAGAAGGCTCAGTCATTGCATTGCATTCACTTGCATGTAATCACAAAATAGTATGGGATAGGGTATGAGTACTAAAATCTTTATCGATTCAAAATCGCATACGTACAATCGGAATGACGCAATATCGCCTTTGCGGGAGATATGGAAAGTGACAATAAACAACAACGGGAAGTTGGAGAGAGACAGAAAGAGAGAAAATATACGTAGAAGACAAACTGTGAAACCGTGTGACTAAAATTGATATGATTATGAGTAGCAATAATTTATGCTCGAAACCTTGTCAAATCCAGTTGATACATAAAATAAACTTATTTGACAAGAACCTGTTGCCAAAGAGATATGCAGAAGAAAGTGGAAATGGGTTGGACATACTTTCAGCAGACAGCTGAGTGACACTACGCGACAAGCTCTCTACAGTAATCTAAATGGGAAACGACGAGGTGAGTGAGTGTGACATGAAGGAGATCGTGTGTGGAGGAAGTCAAAACTTCTGCGTAATCGTGGAGCAGGTTTAAACAGACTGCAGAGAACAGAGTGATACGGAGAAATGCTGTCGCAGCCTTATGTTTCCCTAGGAGCCCATTTTAGTAGTGATAATAATAAGCATATTTAATTATTGATTCAATAAAAAAATAATGATCGATAAATCAATCAATAATGTTTTCTTTGTACTTACATAATAAATAACTGTTAATATTATATATCATTTCAGTTGTTGCAGTTGGCTTGATCAGATTAGGATCTGGTTTGAAACATTTATGCAAATATTCTTTAAATGTAAGATTTGATTTCTCAGAATCATTTGTCTGTTCTAAAGTGTATGATGAACAACTGTGGAAAGAAAAAAATCACCAGAATAAATGAAAGCAAAAGAATATCCAGTGAAGTGTGTGAAATTTCATGAAACTGCTACCTATGTATCTATAATAATAATAATAGCTTTATTCCAAACAGTATTTGTGGTACAGGTATGGAATTTTCAGCGTTCATTACAATATTGCATCTAATTACCTCATAAATTTTATAAGGATTTAGAAATATAAAGCAACAACAACAAAAAGAAAAAGAGAAATAAAAGAAATAAAAAAGAACAGCATTGCATTCACATATTTAAACAATGCACCACAGGATATGATATATAAAATTAGTCTGTAATAGAATATGTGAGCAACAATATAATAGTAACAAAGAAAGGAGAACAAAAGCTAATGGGAACTATTTGTTAGAGTGCCGCAGTAAGTTGATCGTGTCATACCTAACAGATTTCTCATCACATAACAGCTGTGCCAGATAAGGTATTGTGGAGTACCTGGTAGTCCTAGCATATAGCCTCCTATAGTTGCTTCTAGTTCTACCAGATGAGATGCAAGGAGAGAGCTGCGTATAGAGAGGATGCTTGGGGTGTGAAAATATAGTATTCGTTAGTTTCTTACATGACATTATATGTCTATCCACAATGGTGTTAATCAGTTGGTTTAACGAAATCCCACTTCCCCTACTAACAGCTTTTAGTACCATAAGTAGCAAAGCAAAATTTTTCTTAAGTAGTCCAGGAAAGATTAATGGGGAGCAGTAAAGAGGGATGGTTAGAATATAAGAATTGACAAACTGAGAAAGCAAAGACTGCTTTATACCAGAATACCTTAACTTCCTAACGTAGGACGTTAAGCGAAACATCTTTCTAGTAGTCTATCTATCTTTAACGAATTTGAAGAATGCCGATCCCAGTGAACACAAGAACTATTTGACTTTAAGGAGCCAATTAGAGTTTATATACATGATAAAGCAGTGGTTATGAGGAAATCAAGTATTATTACTGTAAAGTGAATGTCGTTCAAGATTAATGGAATAGACAGTCTAGAAAAAAATGCCTAAAACTGAGTGCTAACCTTTATTCCAATCTTGTAACTCTAGTTCCTGAAGCTAAGCGACAGTCAATGTCGATAAATACCGGTACTTCTTTGAGAAACTGGAAGTTATTCGAAGTAGGGAAGTTGCTTAAGTCTTGAAATGTTTTAAAACACTTTATTCCCATGATTACATCACTCTCTTTTTTCTGACATAATTATTCGTGTTAACTCTGATTAGTCACACTGAAGTCACTGAGTCAGTCGTTTTCAGATCCCCACACCTTAACTTCGCCGGCAATTAAAACATAGAAAATGAGGGATTTATTAAACCAGAATTCGAGAGAAAGATTCACATGTCTGGTAGTGTACTGGGGTAGTAATTTTGTTTGCTACCATTAGCTGAATCAAAATCATCTGATGCTCGGTGTATTCAGATTCAGAAATACAAACAATACAATTGTTTACAGGACTTCATCATGAGCTGACATTGGTTAGAAAGCTTAGGAACACTGGACGGCTGTTTCATCGGCGTAGTTTGTGACTTTTCAGCAGTAATCACCTACCGGGGTTCGAACTCAGGACCTTCCTATTCAGGTAGGCAGTTACCTGGGGTTCTAGTGAGAAGGCGTTGGTGGCACAGCGAATAGGACTCTCGCTGACCATGCCCATGGTCCGGGGTACGATCCCCTGCCGACGCACACCTGATATCAATGGTCGGCGTGCCGATATCACATACTGGCAGATCCATACTTGTCCCAAAAATACGGTGTGGAGCCAAGCTATAATCAAAAATAGTCGTGACCAGTAGGGTACAGTAGGTCAAGTGTGAGCACAAATACTCGCCATCGATGACATTCGCTAATTTCAGTCGCGTCATGTCGTGTGTGAATTAGCAGAAGTTAGAATTCATGGACTGGTCATTGGATCAGTTGGGTCCCAGTGGCTTAATGGTCTACGTTTGGGGGGGGGGGGGTTCTTGGTTCAAACTTTGTTGGTGGGTGCGTACTGATGAAAAGTCTCAAACTAGGCAGACGAAACAGCTAGCTGTCCAGTACTCCCAGGTGATTTTCCAATGGTTCTCTAACCAATGTCAGCTCATGATGAAATCCTGTAACCAATCAAATCAAACTCCTGAGGACTAACATTTGAAAATACAACTGTGACGGTGAACCAGATGTCAAGGGATTCTATAATTTTGTTCGATATTCGATTTAAATCGCTTATAATATATAAAACAATCTAAGGGATATCACTTGGTTGGTGGTGGCCAGCAGTGGAATCCAAGGAGCGTATTTCGCCCTATTCCGAAGTCATCAGTTGGAAGTGACTGTTTGGTGTTTCTACTGTTTTTCGAACCCAGCACTCATAATTTCAAACGCCAAAGTGCTGGGTCAGTGAACTAACATAAACCAGGTAGTATAATATCCATCTCGCAAGGAATTGTCAAAGCTTCAGATCTTGGGGCGGGGAGATAGGTAAGTCGACATGGCAACAGACAGGAAATTCAAAATGTTTAGATAATTTCTTCAGGATACTTGCAAAACACAAATAGAACGAATCAAACTTCATTTACACTCTCACGCATTAAATCTATTCACTTACCTTGGACTTGAATTTGTTATCACACAAACGAATGCCTCATTACAATCGGGTAGGTGACCATTATCTTTTGTTGGCTTCTCACCATCATTACACGGAGTGTCTACTTTATCTACATCATTTACAAATTTGGGTAGTTGTGGTTTTTCTCTAATGACCAAAAAACAAAACAAAAAACGAAATTTGAATAGAATTCGTTCCAATAAAAGATTTGATGTAATGTTGCTGGATAACAGTTAAGCGCTACATTTATTGTGTAAAGACTAATGGTGCTACCCATCTATGGAGGCTAAAATAAGTGAGGCAGGACTCGGTCTCAGGACCCATTGGCTGAAAATCAAACTTCGAAAGGAAGAAAATTCAAGTTATTTGTTGCTCACACAGTAAGGAAAATCTGGCAGTGAATAGTTTTAAGGCGAAACACAACAGACAGACAGAAAGAACCATAGGCAATTTCATAATTTGGAAACCACATATCTCATGAATGACAACCATTCAGCTGAACGGAATACTGTGATAGTATACTCTACTGATTGATAAGAGCAACTGAAAACCACTCACGTCAAAAGGTTGCTGCTTTCTAACCAAAGATCTATTCAGATCGAGCTCATCCTAGAGAGCCGGATCAGTTCATTTCGTTCAGATTTGTGCTTCAAACGAATGAGACGGCCGTTCACCGTTTAAACCATCTCGATATGGTTACTTAGCAATACTGTTTGACATAATTAGTTTCTAACTACTGGCTGTTATCAGTAGTATGTACTATCTGGTTATTCCTCTTGGTTTTTTAATTATTACTCATGATATTGAGTAGATCACAAATGGTTACAGTCGCTAAAAGAAAACGGTGATGACATTTCACCACAGGCTGTGGAACTTGTACTTGACGGCCTTGGTTTTGAGGAATCACAACAGTTCTGATTTTAGCTTGCTGCTTCTGGATTCTAATACCCACTCTATTTACTTTAGCCTCGACAGGTGGAGAGTATCATCAAATCTCACACGATAAGTGCGACTGGTATCCCTCTAGATGAAAAATCTGATCCGTACAATTAAGTTCTAACTAACTACCTTTCATCGCAAATGCATAATCAAAGACTCTTCTTGAAATGTACATTTATATGAATATTGTAACTAATAATTTTTCCATCGTTTGCGTTCTGAGTGTGGCACTGAGCTTCGGCCTTTGAAATTATAGTATCGTTAGTGTTACTCCTCCAAAGTCGCGCTGTCAGCCTTTATACCCAGCATTCCCTCTTTCTAGATCTTATTTATTTATGATTAGTATTGTTTCCTTTAGTTCCTAGAGGAACATAGAGCTTCAACAGCTCACGTCTCCATTGCGTTCGGTTCTCTGCCAACGTCTTCACCTGGCTCCACGTCTGCTCAAATGCCTCCATCTACTCTTCACATGACCGAATCCTCCATGTCACCCTCGGACGACCAACCAGCTGCTTCTCGTTCGGTTGCCACTCAAGCGATAGCTTGTCTTGGGATTTCACTCACTTGATGGTTTGTTTTCTCAGAGTATGATCAATCCAATCCACCTCCATTTCTTCCTGCATATTTATTGCACAATTGGTTCCTGTTGAGTTCGGTTGGTCCGCTCCCAAAGATCCCTGTTCCAGATCTTTTCTGGCCATCTGATCTTGAGTATTGTGCAAAGACTGCTGTTGATGAAGGTTTTCTAAATCTTACTATTGCCTAATAAACTAGCTGAGTTTTAAGGCTACGCCGTCAGGGAATCAAACCCCTGTAGCTGGCAAGCATTCTTCCACTGAATCGCGGGCTTATAGGGATAACATTTAAATGTTTTTAAATTCTCACTATCCTTCTAATTGTCTGCCACTGATAGGTAGATGGATACGTGAAGAAACTTACCGGGACAATCCCAACTTTTCATTTGATTGACATTCAATTTCTGTCGGATAGGTTTTACTGTTATCGCTAGTAGTATCATGATATCCAACTGATTTTCTTTGACCTCTAAAATTAGACGAAAGAGGAGGGGGAGGAGAAATTAACACAAGAATATAAGACTCATTGAATTCGAGTTACGATAATAATAATAATAACAATAGTAATAATAATAAAGGGATGAGTAGTGTTCTCTTGCACACATTAATATTTACGGATTATGAAGAAACACAAACGAAGTCTTCAATGGATTGTTGGTATTAGATGGTCGGAGCCAATTGGCCACAGGAAGCCTTGGCTAACCTAGCTTTCGTGTTAGTTGGCACTCACCAGTCAGCAAGGCAGGCGTACCTGCAACCGTGAAGGAACTCATGTCTCTTCTGAGATTCAAAACCGCGTCGCCACTCAGTGATGCGTGCAGTCAGAAACGTTATCACTGAGCTATTTAGCCTCGCGATTGACCTTCTGTAGGACTAGTCAGGAATTAGTGTAATGTGTCTAGTCCTGCTGATTGCCTCCAACCATCTTATACCAACAATTCACAATGCACCGTGATGGCAAGCCACCTAGTGAAATGGTGGCCACATTGCAAACATGACTGATAGAATTCAGTCTGCACTGAAGATAGGACTAGACACATTATACTAGTTACTGACTAGTGTCCAGTCAAAATAAAAATTCACTGTATGTTGGGAGGAACTCCTGTATCTTATGGGTAAGATTTATGAACTGCACTATTACTGTCTAATCCACTGCGTTTGCGTAAGACTATAGAGAACTTAGGATGCGAGCAGAAATAGGATTTATGCTTGAATACCAGATAGAAAGAGACATTGGAGTTTCAAGTCTAATCATGAAAGCCATGGATTACTAAACAGATATTTGGTCCTAGTTTTGGACTCTTCATCAGTATGAACTCATTGAGGCTTGATTCTAGGAGCTTCCGTTTACAAGGTAACCTCGCATACTATTCATCCCAGTGACTGAAAAATACAGGTCCTGGGTTCGAACGCTGATGAGTACTTAATGCTTGAGAGTTCCAAACTAGGATGAAGTAGTTGTCCAGTATCTCCTAGAATTCAATGGTCTTCTAAAAGATATCAATCCGTGCTCAAACTTGAAAATATGTTGGAGCGACTAAAGACATATTTCTGGCTGTTACTGGATCCGGACAATCCTTCAGATGACGAGGAAATCTACTTATATCTTCGTGCATCAAGGGAATAGCTGTACAGTCGCATTTATATTGCATAGAAAAGGCAACTACTCGCATTTATTAATTCGTTAGTTAATATAGATAATACAAAAATTAATTCCCATGATCGTTACAAGAGTAGGGATGAAGTGGATATATCCAAAGAAAACACAGACAACAAAACTCTAAAGAAAGGAACTGACAAAAAAGACTCATAAAGTGATTCGAATACAGTCAGTTAGCGTTGAAGAAAAGATAAAAAAACAGTAAAATGAGGCTAATTAGGAAGAAAATGGTTAGAGGCAAGGTAAAGCAAAAGAATGGATACAGGAACAAAGAATATTCTTTTCACTAACCCCTTCATAATCAGGCTCTATAGTTACATATACATTATAGTGAATGAATGAATGAATATTATTAACGCCATTATTGTTGTTTGAATAACATCGAATCAGTAATAATAATAATATCAATGGATTACAGTTCAATAGCATCAACATAACAATACACTGATAAATTAGGAAAAATAATAATACAAAATTCATGAATTTATAGTCTCCACTGAATGCCGGCCACAGCAGTAGAAGTGGCCGGCTGGACTTGCTTCTTTCGCACACACAAAGCACTGGTTGTTTAAGGCAAATCCCGATAGCCTCAGCTGTTTGATGGAGTCTTCGGTACCTGGATTTTTTTGACAACTTATTTGGTACCCGACAGATGATATTTATTTTTTTTAATAATTTTCGATTACAGCTTGATTCCACACCGTATCTTTTGGTACAGGTATGGAATTTTCAGCGTGTGATATCGGTAGCCCAAATTTTGCAGGCCGACCATAGATATCAGGTGTGCGTCGGCAGGGGATCGAACCCCGAACCATGGGCATGGTCAGCGAGAGTCCTAACCGCCGTGCCACCGACGCAGAGAAGGAATCTTCAATGCTGGCTGGCTTTGTGGCCGGCCGGTTTTGATCAGATGGTCTAATATCGAACTGTTGATGGTTTTCACTACGCCTTTACTTAGCCATAATGAAAGATGTTCCTGACTGAGCACGAAAAATCAAGTTCCTAGAACAACGACCGTTCCTAGAACAAGCGCAGTTGTATTGCTTGATACAATGGGCATTTTCAATCAGTTAAAGCAAAACAGTTTACACAACGATTATGGATCCAGATTTAAGATTGTTGTTAATTTATGCCTAGTGATTTAGCTGTTTATGAGTGTGCAATTTATTTTGGTGGGCTTATGTATGCAGTGTGAACTGACAACAGAAGCCAAAACCTATTGTCCGTTGAAAACAAAGCAGATCAGCTGCATTAGTAATTACATATTAGTTTGTTTATTAGATATATCACACAGTGGAGCGACAGTATTATTTACTGGATGACAAAGTTTCGAACACTATTTATTGCTGTTCATAATCATTTCATCAGTTATAATCACACGGCTTCGAAACTTGAGTTTTATAGTCTTCTCTCCTATTTGTCGTCGTGGGAGAAGTAGTAGAATTTTCCAGATACTTGGGTGGATACATGTGGAATCATTCCAATTACACGTATTATTTTGTAGTTGATTCGATAAAATTAAGCTTCCGTTATCAATCTCTCACTCCACCCTGTTAATTGGACTAGATTTTAAAACTGTCATCCTATCCCATTCAGCCTATTGCATGGTTGTGTGTAAGTACATGTAGTCAGTTTATATACACGTATGCTAATAAATATGGCTATAGAGACAGTCAGAAACGAACTCGTTTCTGACCAATAAGTCGAACTAAGGACGAAATTGTTACTTGAGAATATAATGCTGGGAGTGCAGCCATGCCTGAATTCCACAGTATTTACATTCCAAGGGAAAATATACAAGCAAACTGAGGGAGTTGCCATGCGATCACCAATATCCCCAGTGAGAAAACATAGCGATGAAACGTTCACCCCTACCACAAAAGTATGATGGAGATTTGCAGATGACACATTCACTGCACTCAGAACATAGGCTGTAGATAAATTTTTCGAACACATTAACTCAAAAGTGGAGGCAGTTCAATTCACTTATGAATTAGAGAGTCAGGAAGGGGAACTTCCAATGTTAGATTGTAGCTTAACAAAAGGAGAGAAGATGAGAAGTTAAACACACTAGTGTTTACACGAAACCCACACATTCAAACAGATATTTGAACTTCCGATCATCCCATCCTATATCAGTGAAAATAGGGTTGATGAAGTGTTTAAATAAAAGAGCACGGAAACTAAGTAATACCAAGGAAAGTCTAAGACAGGAAGTGAGGCATATAAGAGAAGCTTTGAAACTTAATAATTACCCTGACAAATCAGTCAGAAGATATTTAGGGAAATGTAGAAATAAAAAATAATATTAGTAGTGATAGTGATAATGATAATAATGAAAATAATGGTAACAGTAATGACGACACTCATGTCAAATATGCGTAAGATGATAACAACAGCAACAATAAGGAATCTAAATCATCAGTAGTAATTCCATACAAGGAAGGAACCTCGGAAACCTTACACAGAATTCGTAACAGGGCAGGAATAAAAGTGGCTGGCATTCAAACCCAGAAACTCAAGTGGAAACAAGCTTTGTCGGTTAGGGGATCATGTGAAGCCTTTAAAATAAAACAATTTAGTTTATCTAATGCCCTTCAGGAATGATTGTTAGGTCAAATACATAGGTCAAAGTAGTAGAATAGGGTCAATGAGTCAGACTAACCGAGCATAAAATCCTAGGAAAACTCAGATTGGTTGATCCAAATAAGGTAAGAAATCTAGAGAATAGTTCAGCTATAGCACTACATGCAGTCACACACAACCATACAAATAGGATGGATGGGATAAGATAACAGTTTTAAAATCTAATGTCACAGGGTATGGGGAGAGATTGATAACAGAAGCTTTGTTTATCGAATCAACTGAGTAGAATGCGTGTAATAGGAATGATTCAACATCTGTCCACACAGATATCTGGAAAATTCTACTACTACTAGAACGACGACAAATAGGAGAGAACAAAGCAGACTATCAGACTCAAGTTTCGAAGTCGTGTGATTATGATTGGTGAAATGATTATGAACAGTAATGAATAGTCTCCGAAACTTTGTCATCCGGTAAATAATACTGTCACTTCACTGTGTGATTTATCTAATAAACAAACTAATATGGAATTACTTACTACTACAGTGCCCAAGTTTTACACATATATTAATATTGCATGAGTAATTATTTTTGTCTGAGAAATTAGGAAAAGTCTTGAGTAATCAGGAGAGAAAGTCAGCGCATTGACAACTTCTTGGTTAAGTGATAAAAGAAAGTCGTTTAGATGCAGTTGATAAGGGACGAGAAAACAAAAGATAGATTGAAAATTGATCGCAAAACTATAAAACCGACTGCATAGAGCATGTTATACTGTGGTGAAAGATGGTCGCTAGCCAAATTGGTTGACAGTAATTGAGGTCAAAGGTCAAGGTTGTCAGGCGGATACAGTTAACATGTAGTTGAACTGACACAGCCACAAGATATGCAAGGTTAACTTTGCAGTTGATAAACAACCAATCAACAGACGGTATTTTCTACTGACATTAACCTACAATAATGTACATCAAAATCTATAAATACGGATTGATTTTCCGAAATAAACGTTCTGTTGCCTGGCCCTTGTCTTCTGTTGTTACAATACTATTATTGAGGAAGACTAGGGAGGATAGGAAAAAGAAAAGAACAAAAAAGAAGAGCACTAAGGGCATCGTAGTAAAAGAGGCTGGAAAAAACCTTTCTTAACACACAGTTCTTGTTTCTCCTTATGAATTGCTAAGGTTACAGCCTATGAACACTTACCAGTATGGTTGTCAAAAGAAGAA